AAAAAAAAAAAAAAAAAGTGATTGCAGCCGGTGGTGGTGACCTCCAGGGTGAGCCGAGCTCTGCCCAGGGATGGCGGAGGCCGGTCCTCGGTGGTCGGCATTGACCCTGCAGCTGGGAGCAGCGGCAGCCCTTTGGCTCGGCCTCTCCAGATCCGCCACCCTGTCTCCTCAGATAGTCGACCATGAAATAAATGTCACCGGTCGTATGTTATTAGGGTTTCAAGACACCCCAGAGAGCGGATGGTCTCCCGGAGCTGCCCGCGTTGGTGGGTCCCCCCCCGATGATTTCCTCTTTGTTTTCAGATCGTGGCCAAGAGATACCGAGATTTTGAGTTTCCCCCCGAGATGACGGGCATCTGGAGGTACCTGAGCAACGCCTACGCCCGGGACGAGTTCACGAACACGTGCCCGGCCGACCAGGAGATCGAACGCGCCTACTCAGCTGTGGCGAAAAGAATGAAGTGAGGCGGGGCTTCCTGCGCGTTCCCGGCCGCGAGCCGGGCTGGGGAAGAGCGCCCTCCGTGTTTCCCGCAGTAGCCCTCCCTGGCGAAGGCACGCTCGCGCGTCATTAACGCCGCCTCCCAGGGGATCCACCGACAGCACGCGGCTCGAGGCCTTGTGACACCGCGTCCCGTCGTCCACACCGATGCGCCAGGTCATCCTCACCGATGTCTGACTTTCACTGACGCTGTGACATTCAGGGCCTGTGCTTTGCAGTTTAAGTTTCAAAGCAAATTAGGTTTGGGTTCAGTTCCTCCTTCGATTTAAAAAAAATTTGCCTGCCTCTGATTGTTCTCATAATCATGGTTAGCTCGCTTTTCGCCTCTAAAATAGGTTTGTAATTTTTTTCAGGATGAAAAGGCTGTTTTTGTAATTATAAAATAATGCGTGGCTATGTTAACGATGCCAGAGTCTGAAGGTGGGAGAAAAGGGTCACCTGAAATTTCACTGCCCTTAGATAATTGGGGACCACTTACTGGTGCATCTCTTCCAGATCTCCCCTCCCCCCCCCAATTTCACTCCTCCGTGGTGTTGCATTGCTGTATTTTGAAGGACTGGTGGGGGACCTCTTGGTGATGCCTCGATGAGCACTGTGAGGACCTAGAACAAACAGACAGATCTGGCCCCGCAGGGCCAGAGAGGATGCTTGCAATCGGGTTTCTCAGGGGTGGGGCACCGTGGAGTCCACAGATGGGCAGGGACCAGCAGGGACCAGAGGCTGTGGGTGGCCCCACCGTGCCTCTGCCCACCTGGGTGATGCCACTGCCTCTGGCTCTGGGGGGGCCGTGGAGAAGTGCCGCCCGCGTCTCTCACGCCAGCCTCCCCTCCCGCGTCTTCTCTCGCTCCCGCCCTTTGCACGGGGGCCCCGCGCTCAGGAGGACTCTGCGTCAGCTGCAGGTTGGAGAACCTCCCTGCTGGGCTGGAAGGTGGATGGAGCCCCCCTAGATCTCGCCTAACGGCCGCTCCCTCTCTTGGCCCCAGCGGTGCACCCGTCGGGCGACGCCGGAGGGTGCGGCCGGCCTGGTTCTTGCTTCTTTTCTGCCCTTTATCACGTCATTTCGAGGCCAGGAAGGGAAAATCCAGAGATTAAATTCACGGTGACTGCTCCGGCAGTTCTGGTAACCGGTCGGGTGGGGAGGAAGCGGGAACTGCTGACTCGGCAGAGTTTTCTGGTGTATCCGTGGCCCCCCCACCGCCCCGCAGCCGGCCCCTCAGCAGCAGCGGGGGGTGGGCTGGGCGCCGGGCCCCAGCGCGAGGCATGGAGGACGTGGGGGGCTCCTCAGACACCCATCGGGACCTCCCAGGACTTAAGCATCACGGCCGCTGTGCTCCTCTGACATCTACACGCGTCTTACTCAGACCCTCTCTCTGGGTGGGTTGTGGCTTGTGGTTCCTGCTAAAATGCTCATTAAAAACCGTATCCATCAGCTCTGTTGGCCATTCGCATGGAAGAGAGTAAAAGGCATTAACGTGGCTTCTGGGGTTTGGTGAAACGTGTCCAGTAAGAGAAAGTCGTAGTGTCTGCCGCCCGGCCCGCTGCTCACGTTTCACATCTGGGCAGGGCCAGGTTGCCGACCAGCTTTACAGAGTCACGTTAAACTTGGTAAACGAACTGACTACCGTTTGTCGCTAGCACTCACTTTGGTAATTTTAGGTGTTAACAATGACCTACGTAAACTCCCTGTGCCTTAAAAATTAAACAAATAATAAAAATGTTTGCGTGGAACCAATGCCTTTGTTGGTTTGTTTTCACTTTGCATTCTCCGGGGAGCTTTAAGGCGGAGGGAGGGTGGGAGCGAACGGAAACGGCCGCCGTCAGGGCGGCGAGCGCGGCCTTAGCCGGGATTGGTGGCGTTTGGCTCGGAGAGAGTCTGGGCGTGAAGTGCGCGCCACAGAGGCCTTTTCCCGGGGCCTCGGGAGAGGCCAGGGAAGACTCCCGTCACCTGTTCCTGTCCAGGCGGCTTCAGTAGGGGCCCTGCGGATTTTTGGGTTAAGAACACTTTTTTAATTAAAGCGTACTTGGCACAGATGTTATACTAGCCTCAATGTGCAGCACCGCGATGCGACGCCGACGTGTCTCACGGTGTGATGTGGTCGCCATGGGAAGTCCGGTGGCCGCCTGTTGCTATGCAGACCTGTTGCGACACCGCCGACTGTCCCCTGTGCTGCACAGCCACAGACTCCGTTTCTGGTGTCGTCATGGGGACATGGACAGTTCCGGGGGGTTCCCTGCCCTGCCCCCCCCACTGTCACAAGCCCCCCAAAAATTGCTCTTACGTGGGAAAGTGGGAAATAGTCCAAGGCTGTTTGGCTAGCATCAAATCTTTTTTAAAAATATGTTTTTATTGATTTTAGAGAGAGAGAGAAAGGGAGAGAGAAACATCGATCAGCTGCCTCCTGCACGCCCCCTGCTGGAGATCGAGCCCACAACCCGGGCCTGTGTCCTGACTGGGAATTGAACTGCGACCTCCTGGTTCATAGGTCGATGCTCAGCCGCTGAGCCACGCCCGTCGGGCAGCAACCCTAATTTTAACTAGCGGAGAGCGACATACTCACCTCCCGGGGCTGGTTATTGGAAATGTGCGTGTTTCAGGGCGTGTGTGCGAGGACCTCCAGGCCTAAAGGGTGCTGACTCGACTTAGGAAGCGAGAGTGACAGGCTCCTCGATGACTGATGTCCCCGAGGCTGGCAGGGCCGGGGGCAGGCGGTGTCTGGAACCCGGAGTGTTCTCCTCGGCACCACAGTGAGGAATGGCTCCTGCAGGAGACTCACTGAGTGTCAGTGTCAATCACGTCACCGTCCTAACTGTCACGTTACTGTCCCCTGAAGATAGCCCTGGAGGACGCCGCTTTTCGTCAGTGGCTCTGTGGCCAGTGTTTCCTAGTTGCCTTGCCCCTGAGGGTCATTCTCTCCCTCGAGGAGGCCCGAGAGCTGCTACCTCTTCGCAGTCAGGGATGGGCGGAGATCCCGTCACTGAGGGAGATCCCTACCTGGTGATGCAAAGAACAGAGTAGATGCCACCCGACTGGGAAAGTTCTGACCCATCCCGAAGGCAGGGAAGGAAGAGTGGCTGTGACGTCCACACGTCCTCTCTAGGGAGACCTGGGCCGTCGAGCCAACGCCGGGCTCTGGAGCNCGACATACTCACCTCCCGGGGCTGGTTATTGGAAATGTGCGTGTTTCAGGGCGTGTGTGCGAGGACCTCCAGGCCTAAAGGGTGCTGACTCGACTTAGGAAGCGAGAGTGACAGGCTCCTCGATGACCGATGTCCCCGAGGCTGGCAGGGCCGGGGGCAGGCGGTGTCTGGAACCCGGAGTGTTCTCCTCGGCACCACAGTGAGGAATGGCTCCTGCAGGAGACTCACTGAGTGTCAGTGTCAATCACGTCACCGTCCTAACTGTCACGTTACTGTCCCCTGAAGATAGCCCTGGAGGACGCCGCTTTTCGTCAGTGGCTCTGTGGCCAGTGTTTCCTAGTTGCCTTGCCCCTGAGGGTCATTCTCTCCCTCGAGGAGGCCCGAGAGCTGCTACCTCTTCGCAGTCAGGGATGGGCGGAGATCCCGTCACTGAGGGAGATCCCTACCTGGTGATGCAAAGAACAGAGTAGATGCCACCTGACTGGGAAAGTTCTGACCCATCCCGAAGGCAGGGAAGGAAGAGTGGCTGTGACGTCCACACGTCCTCTCTAGGGAGACCTGGGCCGTCGAGCCAACGCCGGGCTCTGGAGCCTGCGACTCCTGCCTCCTAAGAAAGCAGCAGCCTTCGGGGCCCGGCGCCCAGGGGAGCAGCCGAACTCAGCTGGGCTCTGATTCCGCGGGGACCCTGACCTGGCTGTTTCAGGGCCAGCGCTCGCCCCATCAGCTTCCCAAGCTTGTCCTGTCTGGTCAGTGTTCTCCTCTTGCAGCCTTTCAGTGAAACCCAGTCTCACCTGGGGCTGAATTCTGGTGAGTCCAAGGTTTGAAAAGCAGTCATCGTGTTGACATTTATTGCCTGAGATCTCGGGGAGATTATAGCATTGTGGGTGACACAGGAGGGGTATTTTAGAGCATTTGTACTCAGGTTACTTTAGAGCTAAAAGTAATGCTAACAATCATACGAGGAACATTTTAGCTGAGGAACCTGGGGAGCTGAAATTACCTGTCCCAGGTCCTTTCTCCGCCTGTGATGGTGCTGGGACCAGTGTCCACACCTCCTGATTCATTGTTGGGGACCATGGACCCAAGGTGGTGCTTCTCAAAGTGTGGTCCTCAGCACCCACAGCACCTGGAGCGTGTTAAAAATGCACATTCTGGGGCCCACCCCAGACCCGCTGATTCAGAAGGTCTGGGATCTACGTTTTAGCAGGTTCGGGAATTCTGGTGCTTGCTCGAGTTTGAGAACACTGCTCCGTGGAAAGTCAAATCGAACCTCCTGGGGGTCGGGTCAGTATTTTTCATCATGTGTGGGGAGTCTGAGTGCCGAGCCCTGGTTTCTATCACGCTTCCTTTCCTTTATCATTCTGAGCGCCCACCCCCATTTTAGGCACCGCGTGGATCAGGAGTGTTAACATAGGCGCTTCCTACACTAGTTGATGGGACGTCAGGGCCTAGAAAAGGGAGTTTCATGTGGATGTGTCGGGCGGAATATAACTGGTACTTGAATGACATGGACATCAGGGCCACGAGAGTCCAGGGGCGCTTTGGGCTGTGCCGAGGAGGTGGGGAGCGTCAATGGGGAGGGAGGGTTGGCCGGCAGGTGGTGGAATCGGGCCTGATGAGCTCGGGAAGCGGCAGCAGGAACCTGAGAGTGACCAGGCCGGAGGAGAGAGTGTGCTGGAAGTTAGGAGGCCGAGTTTCTCCCTTCGGTGGAGGACCCCAAGGGTGCTGGCCTCAACAGCCCAGGGGAAGGGATGGTCGGCTCAGGTCCACGCCCAGCGATCCGCTCAGAAACCTCTCTGGTCAGGGTATAAGACAAAGTATTGTCAGACGTCTCTCCCTACAGGCCTCAGGCAATTTGGCATGAGCGGGGGTGGGT